TATATATATATATATATATATATATACAGGGTGTCAGGGAAATTTTGACGGTCACGAAGTAAGGAGGTAGATTGGCTCAAATTAAAAACGAAGGACCTCTACTGTTTTGTGATATTCGCAATAATTAACAAAAAATTAAATAAAGAAGATCGACCAATCTGCGTGAGTAGAAGCGCGCGGCGACGAGAGTCGTTCCACTGTAATCTTATCTCACTGTATACTAGGCGCGCAGCGAAGCGGTGGGCGAATCGCTCTCCGAGATTTGATGGTGGCGTGAGATATATCGCAATACCGCGCCGAAAAATGACCCGTCCTCTTAATGGTGAGAAAATGATGCGTTATCATTTCCACACCACCTTCGGGAGATAGCATGGTGCGCTTTTTTTATAGTGGTTTCCCCAATAGGCCTACTCTCAATTTGAAAATCGTTCATAATACTGTTATTATACGCTAAATCGTAAATGTAAAAAACTAATGGTGACAGTATTTTCACAAAAATTGATTTGAGTTTGAAAATTCCTCGATAAAACATGTTGATAATGATGTGGGCGTAATCCGTTACACGTAAAGCGTGATGTACCGCGTATCGCGAAAACTCAAATTTGTGTGTCACACGACACATTCTAGTTCTAGGATTTTTATAAAATGCTTCAAGAATCCTTTCTTGTGTGTAATGCTGATTTTATATTGTTGCGGCAATATATAATTCGGGTGAATGTTTAACTTTTCTTGAGAAATTTTAATTAGCGGATCGTCGGTTAAAAATGCCGCTGCGACGATGATTGTTAAACTGCTATTTAACAATAGTTTTAGAAACATGATACTACTTTTATCTTAGATATCTGTAAAAATATTTTTGTTAGAAAATACAAACGGACAAATTAAACACAGCACTGTCTCTACCATGATTTAGTGGAAAAGAAGCAATTAAGACAAATATATAGAAATAAACTTAATTTTGAATGACTTACTTTGTATATGAGATATACCACAAATTCTATGCACGTGTATGTTTCGTTACAATAATTAGTTACAATAAATCAATGTTTTATCCACTATAATTGTAACATAAAAAATATATATGCACACTTATTTCTTATTATTTCGAGAATCTTCCAAAGACTAACAACACTTGGCGATAATACAATAAATGTATATATCATATGTAAACACACAACTTCTGAGATCGTTCATAGACGTTTCGATCGAGAAACGGTATGTAATAGCAAAGCACGGTATTTCCTACTCCAAATGCGTGCTAGCGATCGAGCGCAGAAAGATGGCAGTTATAATTTAAATTTTATCGGTTACGACTCGGTTCACCGACTCAATCGCGATCGACGTTTATTTTTACAATTTTATCATTCGACCTGTACAATGCTACTTTCCATTGGTTCAATTTTTTATATTTGTCGATTTATTTTAGTAATCCTTTTATATGTTCTATTAAAATAATTATTGTCACACTGATGACCGAAACGTTTGTATGTTTTAGTAATTATTGTTTTTTTTAAATTATGGATTTATTAAAACACGCATTATCACCTTCGATATTTTGGTCTTAAACAAGTCTCCCTTATAACGTTTAATATTAATAATATGTGTTAATATAACTCACGAAATAATATTTATATCAAGTATATTTAAATATTAATTATATATACAGTATTTTATAATATTACTTACACATATCCACTATTATCCACTATTAAATCACATATATATTATACATTAATATATATAACACATATTAATTTATGTGTATTAGCAAATAATAATTGATGCAATACTAATGTACATATACAGGATGTTATGAAAGTGAACATGACTTTAAAAAATTAAGGTAGATTGGCTAAAATTTAGAAGAAAGGTCTTGTACAATTATGCAATAGTTGCAATAATTAACGAGAAAGAAATTAAAGAAAATCAGCCAATCTGCGTGAATAGAAGCCTTTGCCGCGCACCTACACATACATTGCTTCTTCTCTTTCCAATCACCCCTTCACCGCGCACCGTCATTATGTTACAATGAGACCGCCTTCGCCGTCGCACGCCTTTATTCACGCAAATTGGCCGATTTCCTTTAATTTATTTCTCATTAATTATTGCAAATATAACTGTACCAGACTTTTGTTCTAAATTTGAACCAATCTACCTTAATTTTTAAAAGTCAGGCTCATTTTTATGACACTCTGTATTGATATACATTATTAATATAATAAAAAACTTAAGAGATGTTAAAATAAATAAATAAATATTAAAATATAATTTTTACATAATAGTTATATAATAGTTATTGAGTTACTATATTAATGATTCAGAATTCAGCTTGTTTTTATAATATCAATAAAATATATTAATCTACGTATTAAATAAAAACTTTTTCTCATTTGTATAATTAATAGTACAATTTAAATATCTCATTTGCAGAGCAATAAGAAAATCTATAATTATGCATGAAATATTCTTATAATACAAACGCATCAAGTATCATTGCAGGACAATTAAAATCCTAAGAAATATCCAGTATAATTAAAATCCTAAGAATTAAAATCCGAAGAAATTAAAGCGCATTTTATTTTGCATATTACTCAAGGATATGACCTTGAGAACATATGTCAAGATCAAAATTATTAGTGGGAAGTAAAGATGATATTTCTCAGAATTATTAATAAAATTATACCAGCAAAAAATTCTTATTAGAAGCAATAAATATCATTAACTCCTAGTAAATTTAAATGTTAAACGGAAATGTTACATAACTTTTCAGCACGATTGTGACCGTGACAAAATAAGACTTCCGTCTATATTATCCGTCTATATTATATTATCTCGTTATCTGTGTTGAATACAGGTAACTCTTATAACAGTCCGCTGCGTAGGTGGACTTCGATAAAGGAGGAGGTGAAATGATGCAAAGGTATGCGAAGTTATAGGTGCTAGATTATGGGACAAAGACTGGATCAAGTTTTGTGGAACATGAATAGAGTAATATTAGATTCTTACTTTTATGTCTTCGCAGTCTATAGATCGCATATACATTTGCGACGCGTTTACGCCCACAGGATAGAGTTATGTTTCTTTATGAAGAAACGCTTTTTAACTGATTTATATACAGGGTGTTTCATTTTAATCCGACCACCTAAATTTCTCGGAACCTAAGCAAGATAGAGAAAAATGTTTTAGACAAAAGTTGTATGGTTTCAAGGGGGACATAAAATGGTGTCATTAGTTTGATCTTGAAGAGCCACCTGAAGGACACGCGAAGGTCAGCTCCAACTTTTTAAATGCGACACCCTATACGCTTTTGCATAGTCTTGTAGCTCATCTTAAGAGCTTTCCAAAACACTATAATTAAGTTAGTTTTCATTAAGTACTTTTCAAGTTATGAGGCTTGAAATCATTTTTTAATTTTACATAAAGCGTAAAATATCTTGTAAAATATTCATTTTTCGATTATTTTACCTTAATACTTTTATGTACAAAATAATGAGAAGAATCAATTGGTGTAAAGAAAACTCATAGTTGTTTCAAAAAAAAATATGTAATTTGCAATTAACAATTACATATTTTTTCTGAGAATATAAATTATAGCTTCTACATATATTTTATTTACGATTATATATATTTTTGCTGTGCTGCTTTGAAAATATAACAACGAAAATTATTAGACTGTATTATAATGACATGTTGTTCAAACGAATAATTAGTTTTTGAATATATCAGTATAATTCTGAGAATATGGATATATGCTAATTATCTACTTGCTTGTATGAGAATTATATAAAAATAACTTAATGGCGCATGAGAAATAATATTTCACGTAAGAATGGAAAAAAGTTCAAACATAACATGTAAAAATATAGATAAGTACGGAAAGAAAAAACTAAATAAAAAAAAAATTTGTTGAAAAAGAAAAAAAAGAATAAATAAAATAAATAAGTGTCCAGCAACGTGTGTGTGTGTGTGTGTGTGTGCGCGCGCGCGCGCGCGTGTGTGAGAGAGAGAGAGAGAGAGAGAGAGAGAGAGAGAATATTAAATAATATTAAATTTGCGAAAAAAATAAATAAATAAGCTCGCATATTCGATTTGTTTAATGTTACAAACGGTGCGATTATATACGTGCAAGGAGAGATCTCGTATAATTGAATGGAACAATCATACACACACATTTGGAAACAAATACGAGGTAATCGTTTTAGGAACCGTCTAGTCAAGGTTTATCTACTTCAAATGCACCAAGTTAAATTTTTGTTTGCTTAGCCTTGTGGTGTCAGTGATTTCTAATATTTCGTGACACCATACGTTTACGACCTCATAGACAATGACATGTTTATGAACAAGCAGTGCCACGCTGTCAAAGAATAAAATCTTCTAATTCTGTTAATTACAAAACTACGATTTTATGCTTACAAAGAAATAATTTAGATTAGTAAACAAAAGAATACAAAAATATTAAGCTGTATGTATATTATGTACATTTTCAATAATTTTAAAAAATAACTAACTTAAAAAATTATTATTTTGATATTTCTAAATATTTATGCATCATTTTCTGAGGGAGATTCATTAGATTAATATACTATTTAATTTTTTTGCAAATAACTTTTTAATAAACAATAGCGCTGGCTAGTATCTTTACAAAAATACTTAGAATAATAATTTTGATGAAAATAAATAAAGATACATATAAGGTACAATAATACATTTTTAGTATATATATAATATATATATATATATAATGTCAAATATTAAATACTTTCTCATTTATGCGATTAGAATTATTCATATAATATAACATAATTTAATTTCAATTATTTATAATTATGAACATAATTAACACTTTGCATTATTTCATGTTAATAAAGAAATGAAAATACCGGTTAATTGCAGGCCACATAGTATCTTTGTAAATGCACGTGTATTTAATTATATATTATTAACGCACATAAGCATAAATAATAAATCGATAACTATAAACATTATAAAAAGCTATTTGTAAGAAAGATATATAGATGTGTTTGCGTCATAATTGTTACTTTCATTAAACAGACATAATTGTTACTTTCATTAAACGTATATTATTGATATTTTACAAAATTCTGAAAGTAATCCTGTTGACATTTGATTTCGAAAATGCGCCTTCGTATCTTGCTTTGAATATTTGAAATATGTTGGGATATATAGATATATATTGGTAAATATGCTGCCATACGTCTGTAGCTTTCTGCAAATTCGCTTATCTAAAACAGATTATGTCGATATTAAGTATTAGTGAGAATAGCCAATAATCAATTATCAACAAATATTATATTAAATATGATCTCGTGTATGTATATATATGAATATAATCATATTAATATATATATATATATATATATATATATATATAATACATACACAATAATCTTAAATATATAATAAAGATAAATAATAATTATACATTATAAAAATTATAACTTTTCTTCTCAGAATCAAAATTTTAGTTATCTCGAAAAAAAACTGATTTATATGTTTGTAAACATTTTTAATCAATTAATATCGATTTTTATATAGATTTCTTATTTTCATCAAAAATTCAGTAATCGAACGAAATGACATGAATTTTAAAAAAAATGAGTAAAGCTCTAAATGTGAAATATAAATATAAATTTTTCGAACTCTTAAGAGAGAGTCAAATGTGGATAATAGTGTCTTAGTTTCCAAAATAATTAATTTTTTTTTAAATAAATTGTTATATATGGAATATATTTCTTTCCGCGACTAAATAACTGAATAAATCTCAATTCAAGATTTCTATTAAAATAAATCATTCCTAATCTCTATACAAAAGGATAGGCGAAAAAATATCTGTAAAATTACTGAAACAAAAATCATTCTTTTATCATATTATGTGTTTTATCATATTATGTGCATAGTATTGCACTATACCAGTATTTTACTATACAATTCTTTCGTCTGCAAGAAATGTTTACAAATAATTTTGTAAGTAATGACAAATAAAAATCTATAGAATTTAGAATTACTGATTTTAAAAACAAAATTAGAAACCTATACGAATTACGGCTACTTCAGAGAAAATATCATTATAATAATTGATATATCTAGCAGACTATTGCCTTATTTCGTGTTGACCAATCCATTATTATTAAATTTTTGATAAATTAATGATTAATATATAATTAATGTATAATAAATTAATGTATAATGTTAAAGTATGCGAACCACATTACGTAATACTCTCCCAATCATATTGGAAAATATTTAAATTTATTTAACTAAGAGTTAAACATCTAGATTAACTAAGATTTAAATCTAAAGCTTTTAAATTCTTTTTTTTAAATTTATATAAATAGATTTTTATTAAAATCACTAAAGTTTCCAAGTAAAGAAATACTTTTCCTTTTCTGATTTCACTTGCTCACTCATTCTTTCTCACTCTGTCATTCACTAAAAATTATATATTTTTGAAATAGTATATTTTCAGAAATTAGAAATAAAAAATGTTTATTTCATAAAAGAAATTAAATGACATTATTAAATTAAATGACATTTAATTTTTGCTTGTTACTTTGGGATACCGTGACATTAATATATACTGTATGAAAGCAAAAAATTAATGATTAATGCGAGTGAATACAAGTGGAATACTAGTACAATATTCATAAAATTGACTTTTACTTTCCTATTTCTCTCTTTCACAAAAAACCAAACTTCTTACATTCATTTAATTCAACTTCTGTTGCATTAATAAATTTATCTATTAGAAAGTCGTACATCTAAAATAAATTATTTTGATATTCAACAACAATATTAAATAACAAATTAATGTTGCATCATCGTTATTTTTTTTACATATACATATATAAACACGTGCAATTTTTACCTTTTCCAATTGTTCTATAGAATACACATGATTAATAATAACAGCAAATGTTGCATGCTCGCTGACTTGTCTATAACAATAAAACAATAAATGTAATGATACATATTTAAACTGTTGAATGATAGATATATATTTACGAAGAAAGCTGTATTACCTGGGTCTTATGTTCTCAAGATTTTTTAATATGAAGTCGAGTACTACAGAATTCCTTGCGTGCTTCGCGATAGTAAAAAGAAAATAATTAATATAATCTTCATCGCAAAAATCTTTTAAAAACATAATCGATGTTGTACTGTCATTTTTTATTAGATTAAGATATGGTTTGATAAATTTTGAATCCTCAGGGCAAGAGAGGAATCTTAAAAGTTTAGGTTTAAATTTTTCTTTTCCCAGATGATATACTCTCCACCAAGGAGAATCTTTATTGCTAGGAGAATCTTCAATGTCAAGAGAATAGTATAATATTTTTAAACCTTGACAGTATGTCCATTCTTCCCACCATGGCAAAAGCCTACGAGATTTAACAAAAGATTTCAAAATTCTCATATAAAAGTTTTGCTCATATTAATCTTATATTTTGATTAAATAATTTAACAAATTATTATTTTATAACATAACATAATAAATTTAAATTTTGATCAAATAATGTAATAAACATTGCACATGTATCTACAAAACAATCAAATTAAAATAACCGAGAATATACAAAAAAAATTACGTGTTGTTTTCGGGATCTTCGAGATGTCGATTTAATTTATGTTGGGCTTTTTCTATGCATATGCGACCACCAAGATTGCATGCCCATTTCGCAGCCTCCATTCTTAAACTCTTTGTAAGCTCGTGTTCATTAGAAATTTCATCGTATTCAAGTTTATCAAGCAAATCGTATAATAAATTTCGCATTTTTACCTAAATATAAATGTATATATGTATATATATTTATATGTATTTATATTGTTACTTAATATAAATTTTATATTTTTTGATTTTTGCATTATATTTTGCTATATAGAAAGATATCTTGCGCAATTGTATTTTACATATTAAGAAAGTTTATATATTAAGAACATTTTGTCTTTGTAAACAACTCTGAATTTTTTTTATAAAGATATCTATTATGTAGTTACACTTATATATACGTATTTATATACAAATTTGAATTTTTCTTGCGTGCACATTCACACATGCTTAACACATGTTCATATTACAAAATAAATAGACATAAATGCATACATGCACATATTGTAGACATATAAACATAAATGTAGACATTATATATATAATATAATTTAATAACTTGCTAACTGTTTGAGTATTAAACAGATAATTAATATATATGTTTCTTATTAACTTTCTATCTCAAAATTAATGATATTTAAATCTTTATTATAAATATCGTGCTGTAATTAAAATTAATAACAATTTTCAAATTTTTCACCCTTTTCCTCTCCAATTTTTTTATAATATTAGTTCATACACTATTCGAATATTAATTTACAAATATACTTATCTTTCATTCAAAATATATATATTTAAAATATCTAACCAAATTTTTTCTAGTTACATATATTTTATTATATGTATCTTTTTGGAAAGCACTTAATAATTATTGTTATAAATGCACACATTATTAATATGTGTAATAAATAATACGTTTCAAGCGTTTTAGTATATTCAATACATCACTGTTGACATTATATATATATATGTTATTACCTTGATGTCAGAATATATTGATTCCCGAAATAGAAAGATATTGGACAGATATTCCAAAGCTTTGAACATGGGATACCATGCCACGTAGTCTCTTTCTCGTGATAGATATTGCGTAATATTCCAGAATATAATAGAATTTAGTTGATTTGTTATCATCAAGTGGAAAGCATCATCGATAATTTGGGCACGATTCAGGATATGTATTTTCATGTAATTTGTAGAATTTAGATAATTTGCAATTCTTCGCCAGTTTTTGATATCGTAATTGATACGATAATATCCTACCAATAACAAATGATTATGTAACAATTACAATTCTTTCAGATAGATTTATCAATACAAGTATCTGTTTTTGTACATTAATCCAGATAAAAAAGTGTATCCAAAATTGTAAATAAGTAAAAAAACAAATTGTAAAATAATATATATATATATATATATATATATATATATATATATATATATATATACAGGGTGTCCAATTTTAAATTGGACAGTAAAATATCTCAAAAACTAAGCCTAGCAAAACAAAAATGTTTCAGACAAAAGTTGTATGGTTTCGAGGGGGACATAAGATGGTACCATTGATTTGATCTTGAAGAGTTATTTGAAGGTCACCTTCAATTTCTTAAATAGAACCTTCATTTTCTCATTACATATTCTTGTAGCTTATGTCGAGAGCTTTCCAAAACACTATAATTAAATGTTTTCCATTAAGTATTTTCCGAGTTATAAGGCTTGAAATAATATCTTAATTTTACGTAAACCATAAAATATCTAGTAAAATATTCATTTTTCGTTTATCTTACCTTAATACTTTTATGTACAAAATAATGAGAGAAATCAATTGGTGTAAAGAAAAAACATAGTTATTTCGAAGAAGAAATATGTAATATGCAATTAACAATTACATATTTTTTCTTCGAAACAACTATATTTTTTCTTTACACCAATTGATTCCTCTCATTATTTTGTACATAAAAGTATTAAGGTAAGATAATTGAAAAATGAATATTTTACTAGATATTTTATGGTTTATGTAAAATTAAGATATTATTTCAAACCTTATAACTCGGAAAGTACTTAATGAAAAAACATTTAATTATAGTGTTTTGGAAAGCTCTCGAGATAAGCTACAAGAATATGTAATGAGAAAATGTAGGTTCCATTTAAGAAATTGAAGGTGACCTTCATGTGACCTTCAAATAACTCTTCAAGGTAAAACCAATGATACCATCTTATGTCCCCCTCGAAACCATACAACTTTTGTCTGAAACATTTTTGTTTGCTAGGCTTAGTTTTTGAGATATTTTACTGTCCAATTTAAAATGGGATACCCTATATACACGGTGGGCCATTTTAATCGATGCACTCGAATATCTCGAAAACAGCACTCTTCAGAAAGAAATGTTTCAAACAAAAATTGTAGGGTGTGAAAGGGGACATAAGATGGTGTCATTGGTTTGACCTTGGATAGTCGGTTGAAGATCACGTGAAGGTCACTTTTAATTTCTTAAATGGAAACCCCCATTTTTCAATGCATATTCTTGTAGCTTATCTCGAGAGCTTTCCAAAACACTATAATTAAGTACCTTTTTATTAAGTACTTTTTGAGTTATAAGGCTTGAAATAATTTCTTAATTTTACATAAACCATAAAATATCTAGTAAACCATTCATTTTTCGATTATCTTACCTTGATACTTTTATGTACAAAATAATGAGAGGAATCAATTGGTGTAAAGAAAATATACAGTTGTTTTTAAGAAAAAATATGGAATTGTTAATTGCAAATTACATATTTTTTCTTAGAAACAACTATGTGTTTTCTTTACACCAATTGATTCCTCTCATTATTTTGTACATAAAAGTATCAAGATAAGATAATCGAAAAATAAATGGTTTACTAGATATTTTATGGTTTATGTAAAATTAAGAAATTATTTCAAGCCTTATAACTCAAAAAGTACTTAATAAAAAGGTACTTAATTATAATGTTTTGGAAAGCTCTCGAGATAAGCTACAAGAATATGCAATAAAAAGTAGGCAGTTCCATTTAAAAAATTCAATTTGACTTTTATATGATCTTCGTCCTCCACTCAAAGTAAAATTTTTAGTCATCATTAGGTACATTTTTTTAAGCCCTACAACTTTGCTATTTACAATTTTTCGCTATAGTTGATCCTTTTCGAGATATTTGACCGTTTCCAGACTTTTGCCCAACCCTGTATATACAGTGATGGGAAAAAGTTCCGGAACGGTCAAATAACTCAGCGAGATTGCATTTTTTGGAAAAATGTTATATACGAAAGTTTTATGATTTTTCCCTATCTATCTAATGATGATATTAATTTTGACCTTGACTATTATTTTGAAGGTCATTTCAAGGTCAAGTTCAATTTTTCAAATGGGAACCCCTATTTTTCATTGCATATTCTTGTAGCTTATCTCGAGAGCTTTCCAAAACACTATAATTAAGTACCTTTTTATTAAGTACTTTTTGAGTTATAAGCCTTGAAATAATTTCTTAATTTTACATAAACCATAAAATATCTAGTAAACCATTCATTTTTCGATTATCTTACCTTCATACTTTTATGTACAAAATAATGAGAGGAATCAATTGGTGTAAAGAAAACACATAGTTGTTTCTAAGAAAAAATATGGAATTGTTAATTGCAAATTACATATTTTTTCTTAGAAACAACTATGTGTTTTCTTTACACCAATTGATTCCTCTCATTATTTTGTACATAAAAGTATGAAAGTAAGATAATCGAAAAATGAATGGTTTACTAGATATTTTATGGTTCATGTAAAATTAAGAAATTATTTCAAGCCTTATAACTCAAAAAGTACTTAATAAAAAGGTACTTAATTATAGTGTTTTGGAAAGCTCTCGAGATAAGCTACAAGAATATGCAATGAAAAATAGGGGTTTCCATTTGAAAAATTGAACTTGACCTTGAAATGACCTTCAAAATAATAGTCGAGGTCAAAATTAATATCATCATTAGATAGATAGGGAAAAATCATAAAACTTTCGTATATAACATTTTTCCAAAAAATGCAATCTCGCTGAGTTATTTGACCGTTCCGGAATTTTTTCCCATCACTGTATATATATATATATATATATATATATATATATATATATTTGTATATATATATATATATTTGATTATTTATATAATTAAATAATATTAAAAATTTGATTAAATTTATGTATATATATATATATATATATATATATATATATATATATGAAATTATTTTGCACTACAATTGAGTGTATATAATAGTTGTATACAAAAAATTTTATATAAATTTAATCCAATTTTTTAATATTATTTAATTATATAAATAATCAAATTGCATTAGATTATATAATATTATTTGTTATTATCTATATATTTATATAAAAACAAAATCTAAAATTATAATAAAAAAGTTTTTTTACTCCTGACCGCTGCCAACCTACAGTAAAGGAACTATGCGTTATCGAGTTCGAATTGATTGTAACGGGTATTCTCGATAACTATAAACGTACTTCGCTATCATCTTTTGCACATCAATTTCTTATTAATCAAGGAAGGTTTCAAACATATATTTATCGTTATTCGTTTTATTAATAAAAAACAGAAAAATAAATATTATTTCGTCTATACGTCTTCTCATTGGCTGCGAGTGAATCTAAGAAGCAAAATGATTCACCAATAAGATTCGTTTTAAGCAACCGTATAGGGAATTATAGTAACTTGAGTTGAAATTAAGATATCTTAAAGTAATGGCGGAAATAATAATTGACATAGCCTATATGTCAAATTATTGTTATTGATAATAATAAATTGTTGTCAGTAATTATTATTAAATTGTGAAGTTATAAGGTCTGTTTTTTATTCCTGCACTAACTAAACTATCCAAAGAACACATTGTAGTCAAAATGACATCATTTTGACGTCATGATTATATCACAATAGAAGAAATCAAAATGAGGATTTTTAATTACAAAATTTATCGATTTCTTGACGATTATTAATACACGCAATAAATGGATTATTTCTCATTTATATCCGCCTAATTTCAAATAATCTGTTTAATATTCCGAATTCCAACGAGGAGTCCAGATTATTAAATAAATTATTTTAAATTTAGCTTATTAGAAATTAAACTGATAAATAGTAATGCCAGGAACAGGAAGAGAACACTATCCATACACACACAAGCAGAGAGCTGCTACGTGGTTTTCTGATTGTGTGCATGTGAGCACCGTCCTCTTTCTGGCACTATTGCTCATGAAAGGAAAAAATTTATTTCTGAATTGCAGATTTTACAAAGATAGCTTCATTTTGTAACATTTTCTTCAAAACGGCGTAACTTTATCAAAGAAGGTAAAAAATTTATTAAAATATGAATTTGTTAAGAAATAAATAAGCTTAAAAACATTTTTGCACCAGGGAGCCAATTTTCTTGAACAATGCAACAGTTTAAAAAATTAAATTGTTTTCTATTTTTCAAAGTCTATCTTCAGCATTTCTCACTTTGTAAAACATTTTTTGTAACTTAAATTTGGTTCTTTTAATTTTTAAGAGGACTGTTTAATTTGAGCTTTATTCTATATCAATGCGGTGATATTTTGCTGATTTATTGCCATTAAAAGATATTAAAATATAAAAGATATTAAAATATTTTGCTAAAATTTAGTAGTCCGTTTTTTTGAGTGTGAGTGTATATCCACCAAGTAGCTACCGAAGATATCCAATGGATATTGATATATTTTCATGAGTTTCACGCCTTGCCACTAGGTGGCGAAAAGGAAAACGTCTAAACCCGATAGTGGGATCCATCCAAGACAGTTTACAAGGCCGCGGCAATGATCCTGCGAGTCATGGCTTATCGGTCCAAAAACGCATTAGTTCGAAAATTGTTATAGCCGCATCTCTTCTATCTTTTGTAAAAGGAGCCCCAGAGCTCCAAAAACTAACAGCAGACGTTAATTTTTTTATGGCAATTTCCGTCATATATTTATTATGAAAGATAGAATAAATATCCTTGCAAAAATCAATATTAATACATAATAGTAAATGTATCTATATTAAAAATAAATGTATCTATATAAATGTCTATTGAATGTTGTACGAATATTTATAGGATATTGATTTGTATATCCTGCAGATATCTGATGATACTTCGAATTGCGGACATTTGGATATCTATAGCATTTCTAATGACTGTTTTTCGTATATTTATGAATATCTTTAATGCGTATGCAAGCATATTTAGTGGATATCTAATATCAATTATTTTTCGGGAATTCAATTATTTTATGGGAATGTATTATTATTATATTTCATATTAAGTTTCTCTTTCGCGTTAATTTTAAAACATACGCGCACACATACACACATTCGTGTATACACATCGAACACATCTAGCGCGGCGTATCCCGACTGCTCTTGTAAAATATAGAATTAATAATAATTACAATGTAACAAAGTAATTTGTTAGTAATTTGTTAACAATTTAATTTTAAAATCTTAGCCTTTGTAAATCATATTACGCTAAATATGTGAAGAGAATGAATTCAAATAAAAATAAATTGAAATAATAACATTATTTCTCATATATATATGTGTGTATAATTTTTTTAAATGTAATATTTAATAATAGTATGAAGTTAATTGTATTAATATTTACACATAAATATTATTTCAAACTTTTCTAAGCTTTTGTTTTTATTATTAAATTTAAATATTTGTGAAATGTTTGTTTCTTATTACTTAATATTTTTATATTATTTTTTTAAATTTACTTTTAACTTTTTAATTTTTTTTAGTTAATTTATTTAATTAATTTTTTTTAATTTTAGGTTTTTATTTGTTGTTTATTTTTGTATTTTTATTATAATAATTAATTATATTTTGTGTCATACGATGGATTATAAATGGTTTAGAATCATGTAGCTTAAAATTTACACATGCATGCGCACACACATATACACACCCACACATACAAAATGCTATTTAATAATGCTATTTAATACAAAATGTATGATAAAAATAATAAAATTGATAATAAAATTAATCTACAATAGTTTGTAACATGTTAAATAAATTGATTAAATTATCAAATAATAAATTTATTAATTAAATAAAAATATTCCTACTTTTATATATACATGTATCTATATAAATTATATCTTACTTTAAAGAATTAAATTGCAAATTTGAAAAAACTATTTAAGCAAAATAAAAAAAAAGTTTTTATTGTATGTAAACTTTAAACTTTAACTTAAAATATCCATGTCTAATAATATATTATATCAAAACACAATTTTATTGAAGATCTAAATGCATTGCAGAAATTTAATGAAATTCTGAAATTACATATTTAAATTTAACACAGAAGATATATTATGAAATTTACTATACAGGGTATAACTGAAAACACGCTCACGGAGCAAATAGCGTTATTCCTGATTAAAAATCGAGTCAAAGTCCTGAACCTAACCTAATCTAACCTGAATCATTCTTTTCTATAATGTTTAATAAAGCGGTAATTATTGAGTAAAGGTGCGCCAATAAGCACCGACCTTCAGACGGCGCACGTCAGTGAACCGCGCGCCTGATAGTGTGCGTGAGCGCTCCGCTATTTCGGCGCTATGTTATGCCGCTATCGTACAATATTTTTATGCGTTGTAATAATGTGAAAAACTATAATTTGCATTAAAAATCATATTTCTTCCATCGAAAGCGTTTCCTTAAAAAAATATTTCAACAAAGAGGCTAAAAGACAGTGCTTATTGGTACAACTTTTCTCAATAATTATCGCTTTATTAAGAATTATAGAAAAAAATGATTCAGAACTTTTAGACTTAATTTTTAATCAGGAATAACGCTATTTGCTCCGTGGGCGCTTTTTCAGATACACCTTGCATATTCGTAAAAATAAATAACTTTATTATTCAATATTTAAAAAAATAGTATTTATATTTATTATAAATGATAATGTAGTCTCTAAAAGTGAGTCAATGAAAATATCACTAATTTTAACAGTAAAATAAGATTTCACTGACAAGAGAATCAGCGAGTGTTTCACTGACGCTTCCCCTTTAGGAAGCTTTAGCTTCCCCTTTTGTTACCTTATCTTATATCTCACTGATTATAATCAGTGGAAGTAAAATTTACTGTAAAATTAGTAAATTTCACTGTAAAACCAATAATCGCTATTTTGTTTGTTACCGCTACGATGCGCTATCTCTTAAGTAAGTTTTAATCATGAGAATTAAAATTTTCAAAAGGCGAAAAATGAAATTAAAAAAGATTACTTCTATTTAATTTCTGATACAATTTAAACAGAGGAACGTCAGATATTAAGTAGATTTTATAAATCGAACACAAATCAATGTTCGGTGAATAAACGAAAATGTTCCATTTATTATCTATATAAGATAACAAATTCAACATGCATGTAATAATAAATAAAATAACATTTTTAATATAATAAATATCAATAATAAATATCAATAAATTTTTAATATAATAAATATCAATCTTACTAATACTGATTGAAACAGTTCATATTACGGATTCTTTCAGTGAAATGTTAGTGATTTACAGTGCTGTACTTATACTGTACTTGTACTGCTATAATAAGTAAGTATTTACTGCTTTCTAGTGATAATACACTGATTCATTTTTAGAGAATAACAGAATATTTATCTAAATAAGAATACTATTACTTAGGCATAAGAAAACCACAAGGCATTGATGTCATATACAAAAAATCATTTAAAATATTAATATAAATTGTAAATCAAGTAATCAATTGCAAATTATTAACAGGAAATTTAGATTAGATTTAAATATTAGAAATTTAGATATTAGAATATTTATATTATTTAATTATTATAGTATTTTAGTCAATCATTTTATGATGAATATATAACAAATGAAAAATGTTTAAATAATTTAGAAGCTTATATATAATTAAAATAATATAAAATTTTCTTTATGTTAAAAACATTATAAAGTGTGATAAATTTGTTACACATTTACCAGTTTGTTGTATGTTAAATAGTATCCAGCCATCCTCTTTAGAATTCAAATGTAATCCAAAAGTCAGAAAAGATAATAAAATAGTATCTAAAGTACCAGTAAAATGTTGATGCTTCTGTGTAGTATATGTTACAGGTATGATATAATCCACCACCTTACTTAAATTGTGCGTTAATACATATGTCCACTCTCCATGACGACCACCTTGTGTCATTTTTAATACAGAATAATATTTGTCATCTGTCCAATAATTAATTATCAGTTTCATAACAATAAAATTGTTTGCGGATAATTGTGTGACCGAAAAGTTCTCCAAAACTTTACCAAAAGTGTTAGCAGGCTTGCTAAAGTTACAAAATTTGTGCAAAATTTATCAAAGTATCAAAAAGTTTTATAAGCAATATATAAAATTACCATAATATTATGACAATATATAAAATTGCTAATATACTGTTAATTACTTTTTATATAATTTACTTAGTTATATAAATAATTATGTAATTAATAATTTTGATTTATAGTTTCCATAAATATTTGATATGCTATAGTTTACACTATAATTTAATTAGGAATATCCTAATGTAATTATTTTTAAAAGATACATGTATGTGTAAATTGAAAGTTTATCTTGAATATTTAATGACATTGAAGGTAAAAGAAATTGTGTATAATTATATAATAAAGTATGAAAGATATGATGCAAGTTTAAATAAAAATAAATGTAAGATTTGAGAATTTTATGATATATAATTAATCATTCACCATATTTAGTTTTCTGCAATACAGTAATTATAGTAGTACAGTATATTACTTACTTATCCTTTACATATATGCGGATAGTCTGCCATAATATTTCTTCAGTAACCATATGTTGAAACATACGCAATATACAGTATCCTACATTTACATCATACGTTAAAATCAGAATATCAGATAACAATACTTATAAGTTAATAATAATTACAATTATATATATATATATATATATATATATATATAATTGTAATTATATATATATATATATATACATATATAAAATTAAATTAAATTAAATTTTTTGTCTTATTTTGTCTAATTTTTTAAGCACATATATTTATAAATTTACGCATATAATCAATTTTTAATTATACATATTATCATACCTTTAATGTAACGGTAATGTTCGAAAGAAATATCGAATAACGTATTATAAAGTGATGTATTATATTCAGTGTCGAAATGAAGGAATTCCTGCTGAAATTGTACCACAAACAAATCTATCATCCGGATATTATATTTGGATATTATATTTGGAGGAACCTATAGAAAATAATTTTAATGTATTTACTTAGTTAATATTAGACTTAACACATAGTAACAATATACACTAGGACCGCTACTTTTTACGTCTGTAAAAAAAATTTGTTATTTGTTATAAAATTTGTTATACTCTTCCTCTCTCTCTCTCTCTCTCTCTCTCTCTCTCTCTCTCTCTCTCTCTCTCTCTCTCTCCCTCTTTAAATGTGGAATAAATAATTCAGAAATAATATTAATAATGATAACAAAAATGGTTACACAATATAACTTTTAAATTAAATATTTCTAGAGTTATTTATAATATATCATATAGCAAAATTATCTTATTACACAATTTCCATGTGTACATATGCATAACTTTATAATAACTTTATACATAATTTATGCAATCTGAATGACAATTTCATTTTTATTTTATATAATTTAAAGATGTCAAACAAATGTAATATAACAGCGATGACAAAAAAAAAAAAAACAGTAATTAAATTGTTTTACAATACAATAAAAAAACATAATGTAAAAATATTTTAAATTACTTTACATATGTAATTGATTTTCTTGAAAAATTAGCATTTTAAAAAAATTGTTATTTTACTTTCTAAATATAGAATATATAGAATCTTCGCGTAATATTCTAATTCATAAAGAAATGTATACGCTATACAGATAAAGATATAATTATAAAGAGCTTTTACATTACATATGTATATATATCTTTATGTTTAACTCAAACCTTGTTTACTTACAAACAATATACATTTATGTATATCTATCATATTGTTTGCAAGTGAGCAAGTTTTGTGCTAAAGAATGTTTAAATTAACCTCATTAATGATATATAATCCAAGAAATGTGACTATAGCCTCATTTAGCCCAGAAGATAACGACCAAAATGGATTTTCATAATAAAGACATTCCTGTACTACTTTATGGGCTATGAAGTAAGCAACTTTAATTTTACGCGCAGGAGAATCGACATTCTCAATGTAGGTAACATCTGCTTCTCTGAAAATTAAAAAAAAATGTTTTATAGAAAACTTCTTACTTGAAAATTTGTGCTAAAAAAAAAAAAAAAAAAAAAAAAAAAAAAAAAAAAAAAAAAAAAAAAAAAAAAAAAAAAAAAAAAAAAAAAAAAAAAAAAAAAAAAAAAAAAAAAAAAAAAAAAAAAAAAAAAAAAAAAAAAAAAAAAAAATAAAAAATATAAATTATTTTAATTATTTAATGATTTTATGTTATAATTTTTAATTTTGTGATTATAAAATATATATATATATATATATATATGTATATAAAATATTTTAATATTATTTTTCGTATAAGTTGATATAAATGAAAGGTATAATAAACATTTAAGTATATTTCTCTCATTGTCTTCTACAATTTTACTTATTTTTTTAAATATATTTAAATAATATTTTTAAAATAGACAAAAGATATGTAGATAATTTTACTTTAAAATATGTAGATAATTTTAATAGACAATAGATATGTAGATAATCTTACCAAGAATTATTACCCGTTTTTCATCTTTCAAACTATATTAATATTTTTTAATTATATAATTACCTATAAATAGCAAGGCCCAGATTTATGATGCTTTCGTTTTCTGGAAAATCCGGAATTGCAATATGATTTATTTGCCAAAATTTATTCAGGCGTTCCCATTTACGAAACAAGTAAAGAGTTATATTTTGCACAATTTTGTGTGCAAATGCGCAGTGCATTCTACACCACATATTAACGTTGATCTTACTTTCACTTGGACCAGATATGAGAGATAAATTAGCCCGGTTATCCACAAATACAAAATAATTAGGCCTTACAAATGTATTAAAATGTGCCATCATTGTGTCTTTATCATACATTACTATTGTCTGTAGCGGTATATTTGATAAAACTGTATAATTTTTATGATGTTTTATAATAATATTATAGACGGGCGAGATGTGTAAAGATTCGGTCAAATGTGGAATCATGTGTTGGATTCCAGTAGTATTAACATATGTTGCCAACCTATCACATTTAGAAATATGAATTAATGATAATAACTTTTCGACAATTACATAAAATTATTAAAAATTGAATAAAAAGGAGACATACGGATGCAACTTATATGTAAGAATAATATATTATATAAAGAAAATTATGGCATAGAGTTCTTCTTATTCTTTTACTGTGTATCTTATCTTGTATAATGTATTCTATTATGTAATCTAATAAAGATTTTGATAGTATCGTGACATTAATATAACGTAATGATCATGAAATGTTAGGTAAATGTTTAGTTGAGAATGTACAGGTACAAAATAAATAGTTAATATTTAAAAGTTTATATTTTAGTATCAAATTTATGAATTTTAGTAAAATTAAAATGAAACAAAATTTTGTTCAATAAAATTAAAATAAATTTTAATATCACACAATATTAGAATAACTTTTTTAAATTGATTTTAAATTGACTTTAATTGATATATTATGATTATTGACATTGACATATTACCTTACCATCATTACATAATTTTATACATGTTAAAGAAACTGCATATTTTAGTGATAATTTATTATTATGTGAATATATATATTTTCAGTTATTTGCATATTATAGAGAGAATAATTCTTAAATAGTACTATGTATGCGTGTATCTAAATGTTTAAATACATGAAACAGCATGTGTATAACCTGAAGTTGAATTAATAAATATTGTAAAAATGACATGTTTGCCAACATTTTAAATTTCAAATAAGCAAGTTCTATGAAAACAAACATAAATCTTTCAGAATTGTATTTTTTAATTAAATTTTGAAAACAATTCAAAACACTACCGGAATATTTGAATTCGTCCGACAGTTAATGATAAAATGTTGTATAAGATGTGTATTATTGCTAACTACTTTAATTAAATTAATTTTTATTTGCAGTTTACATTCATTTTAATAATAGTGATAATAATAATAATGATAATAATAACAAATTGCAAAATTTGTTACTAAGATCTTAAAAGACACATAATTATAAATGAAAACTTTCCAGATACGCACATGTTTATATAAAAATGTCTTTTCTTAGAAAATATTTTTTAATAAATAAAATGCTGTACTAGTATTTTTTGATAAACACCCTGTGAAATTACTATATATTTACTTACCATTGTCGTTCACCTCTTTTATAAAAGCTTTTTAGGCCTATATCTTCAGTTATGTTAGTAACTAATTTTATGATGTAATATCCCGGCGATAGGTCATTCGTGAATATATATTCGACACTGTTCTTCTCATTATTATACAAAGATTGTACCGGTTTAAAAGGGATTATTTTTTTATTACTTATAGAGTGTTCACTATTTATAGAATATCGTGAATAATAAAGCACGGTTATACCGATATATTTTACGGGCGAATATAATATTATGCTTGATATTGGAGATAAAATCTGTATATGTATCCTGCAGTTGCTGACAAGAATATTTTTTTCGATGTGTGTAATGCTGATTTTATATTGTTGCGGCAATATATAATTCGGGTCAATGTTTAACTTTTCTTGAGATATTTTAATTAGCGAATCGTCGGTTAAAAAAGCCGCTGCGACGATGATTGTTAAACTGCTACTTAACAATATTTTTAGAAACATGATACTACTTTTATCTGAGATATCTGTAAAAGTATTTTTGTTAGAAAATACAAACGGACAAATTAAACACAGCACTGTCTCTACCATGATTTAGTGGAAAAGAAGAAATTAACAAGACAAATGTATAGAAATAAACTTAATTTTGAATGACTTACTTTGTATATGAGATATACCACAAATTCTATGCACGTGTATGTTTCGTTACAATAATTAGTTAGAATAAATCAATGTTTTATCCACTATAATTGTAACATAAAAAATATATATGCGCACTTATTGATTTCTTATTATTTCGAGAATCTTCCAAAGACTAACAACACTTGGCGATAATACAATAAATGTATATATCATATGTAAACACACAACTTCTGAGATCGTTCATAGACGTTTCGATCGAGAAACGGTATGTAATAGCAAAGCACGGTATTTCCTACTCCAAATGCGTGCTAGCGATCGAGCGCAGAAAGATGGCAGTTATCCACTTTTAATTTAAATTTTATCGGTTACGACTCGGTTCACCGACTCAATCGCGATCGACGTTTATTTTTACAATTTTATCATTCGACCTGTACAATGCTACTTTCCATTGGTTCAATTTTTTATATTTTTCGATTTATTTTAGTAATCCTTTTATATGTTCTATTAAAATAATTATTGTCACACTGATGACCGAAACGTTTGTATGTTTTAGTAATTATTTTTTTTTTTAAATTATGGATTTATTAAAACACGCATTATCACCTTCGATATTTTGGTCTTAAACAAGTCTCCCTTATAACGTTTAATATTAATAATATGTGTTAATATAACTCACGAAATAATATTTATATCAAGTATATTTAAATATTAATTATATATACAGTATTTTATAATATTACTTACACATATCCACTATTATCCACTATTAAATCACATATATATTATACATTAATATATATAACACATATTAATTTATGTGTATTAGCAAATAATAATTGATGCAATACTAATGTACATATACAGGATGTTATGAAAGTGAACATGACTTTAAAAAATTAAGGTAGATTGGCTCAAATTTAGAAGAAAGGTCTTGTACAATTATGCAATAGTTGCAATAATTAACGAGAAAGAAATTAAAGAAAATCGGCCAATCTGCGTGAATAGAAGCCTTTGCCGCGCACCTACACATACATTGCTTCTTCTCTTTCCAATCACCCCTTCACCGCGCACCGTCATTATGTTACAATGAGACCGCCTTCGCCGTCGCACGCTTTTATTCATGCAAATTGGCCGATTTCCTTTAATTTATTTCTCGTTAATTATTGCAAATATAACTGTACCAGACTTTTGTTCTAAATTTGAACCAATCTACCTTAATTTTTAAAAGTCAGGCTCATTTTTATGACACTCTGTATTGATATACATTATTAATATAATAAAAAACTTAAGAGATGTTAAAATAAATAAATAATTATTAAAATATAATTTTTACATAATAGTTATATAATAGTTATTGAGTTACTATATTAATGATTCAGAATTCAGCTTGTTTTTATAATATCAATAAAATATATTAATCTACGTATTAAATAAAAACTTTTTCTCATTTGTATAATTAATAGTACAATTTAAATATCTCATTTGCAAAGCAATAAGAAAATCTATAATTATGCATGAAATATTCTTATAATACAAACGCATCAAGTATCATTACAGGACAATTAAAATCCTAAGAAATATCCAGTATAATTAAAATCCTAAGAATTAAAATCCGAAGAAATTAAAGCGCATTTTATTTTGCATATTACTCAAGGATATGACCTTGAGAACATATGTCAAGATCAAAATTATTAGTGGGAAGTAAAGATGATATTTCTCAGAATTATTAATAAAATTATACCAGCAAAAAATTCTTATTAGAAGCAATAAATATCATTAACTCCTAATAAATTTAAATGTTAAACGGAAATGTTACATAACTTTTCAGCACGATTGTGACCGTGACAAAATAAGACTTCCGTCTATATTATCCGTCTATATTATATTATCTCGTTATCTGTGTTGTATACAGGTAACTCTTATGACAGTCCGCTGCGTCGGTGGACTTCGATAAAGGAGGAGGTGAAATGATGCAAAGGTATGCGAAGTTATAGGTGCTAGATTATGGGACAAAGACTGGATCAAGTTTTGTGGAACATGAATAGAGTAATATTAGATTCTTACTTTTATGTCTTCGCAGTCTATAGATCGCACATATATTTGCGACGCGTTTACGCCCTCAAGGTAGAGTTCTTTATGAAGAAACGCTTTTTAACTGATTTATATATATAAAATATTAAAAGTATTTCTAGCACAATTGCTCGTGCTTAAATAATGACACTTATTAGAATCAATTACATTACTAATTTGCTCCGCATTTTTTGTTTTCATTCCAATATTTAAACAGACCAAATTCGGAAACAGGAAGAAATTAATAAGATTTTGTTTAGAAAATATCTTTCATTTATCAATATAAGATCTCTTGGAAGGAATTAAATGTGTTTTATATACGATCATAAAATTCTTCGGAGCTTATTTCTCGAATTTAATAATATAGAGAGTGTTCTTATGGAAGAGTGCTTTCCTCCGTTCTCTATTTTTACATTTTTTACGCGTGTTTGGAACATCTTTATTCCATCGTTATCTTTAGCGGACGGATGAATTATTTTTCCTTTCGCCGCGAAAGGAGAAAGTTGAGTTTTACAAATATCATAGCAAAGCAAAAAAAGATATGTATTAATTTCGCTTTAATTATTTGAGTACGTAACGTTCTACATTTTCCTAATTGATCTCTGCCATATGGACAATCTTCTTTTTCATTAACATTGGGTGTCGCCGTATATTGGATATAGAGAGATTAAGGAAATAATTTCTCCTAGAGACGTACCAGCCTTCTCAAGATCATGGATTTATCTCTGGAAAACTAGTAAGTGAATTGAAACAATAAATCGAAGACTTTTGCTAGCGCGGAGATAAGCACGAGATAAATTTTAACCTATCGATGAGTTTCGTTTATTTTACATATGTATCAATTAAGTCTGATGTCATTGGACACACTATTCTATTTTATTCGCGTTTCTTGGACTTCTAAATTTGTACACAGGATATATAATAAAAATGATATAATAAATATGACGAAAAAATATAATATAAATATTATAAAATATAATAAAAATAATAAAATAATATAATGTTAAAAATATTTGCGAATAATGCCTTCCAAAATTATCCAATATGAATGAAATTTTAATTATGATTTTACATAGTTTGCATTTCTCTTCATTTAAATTTCTTCTTACAATGAAATTTAAATCTCTTCTCATCATTTAAATTTCATTATAAAAATGACTACTTTACAGAAGTTATTTAAATAGCACATTTAAGTGAAAATTTATTAACTAAAATATCTCTACATATATATTTCACGATATGCAATCATCAAAACAGACAATTCAATTTTTTGCAGCCATAGATTTGACGTTACAATATGCGGAGAGAATATAAATTATAGCTTCTACATATATTTTATTTACGATTATATATATTTTTGCTGTGCTACTTTGAAAATATAACAACAATAATTATTAGACTGTATTATAATGTCATGTTGTTCAAACGAATATTAGTTTTTGAATATATCAGTATAATTCTGAGAATATGGATATATGCTAATTATCTACTTGTTTGTATGAGAATTATATAAAAATAACTTAATGGGGCATGAGAAATAATATTTCACATAAGAATGGAAAAAAGTTCAAACATAACATGTAACAAAAATATAGATAAATACGGAAAGAAAAAACTAAATGAAAAAAAATTTGTTGAAAAAGAAAAAAAAGAATAAAAGAATAAATAAGTGTCCAGCAACGTGTGTGTGTGTGTGTGTGTGTGTGTGTGAAAAATAAATAAATAAGCTCGCATATTCGATTTGTTTAATGTTACAAACGATGCGATTATATACGTGCAAGGAGAGATCTCGTATAATTGAATGGAACAATCATACACACACATTTGGAAACAAATACGAGATCGTTTTAGGAACCGTCTGGTCAAGGTTTATCTACTTCAAATGCACCAAGTTAAATTTTTGTTTGCTTAGCCTTGTGGTGTTAGTGACTTCTAATATTTCGTGACACCATACGTTTACGACCTCATAGACAATGACATGTTTATGAACGAGCAGTGCCACGCTGTCAAAGAATAAAATCTTCTAATTCTGTTAATTACAAAACTATGATTTTATGCTTACAAAGAAATAATTTAGATTAGTAAACAAAAGAATACAAAAATATTAAGCTGTATGTATATTATGTACATTTTCAATAATTTTAAAAAATAACTAACTTAAAAAATTATTATTTTGATATTTCTAAATATTTATGCATCATTTTCTGAGGGAGATTCATTAGATTAATATACTATTTAATTTTTTTGCAAATAACTTTTTAATAAACAATAGCGCTGGCTAGTATCTTTACAAAAATATTTAGAATAATAATTTTGATGAAAATAAATAAAGATACATATAAGGTACAATAATACATTTTTAGTATGTATATAATATATATATATATATATATATAATGTCAAATATTAAATACCTTCTCATTTATGCGATTAGAATTATTCATATAATATAACATAATTTAATTTCAATTATTTATAATTATGAACATAATTAACACTTTGCATTATTTCATGTTAATAAAGAAATGAAAATACCGGTTAATTGCAGGCCACATAGTATCTTTGTAAATGCACGTGTATTTAATTATATATTATTAACGCACATAAGCATAAATAATAAATCGATAACTATAAACATTATAAAAAGCTATTTGTAAGAAAGATATATAGATGTGTTTACGTCATAATTGTTACTTTCATTAAACAGACATAATTGTTACTTTCATTAAACAGATATTATTGATATTTTACAAAATTCTGAAAGTAATACTGTTGACATTTGATTTCGAAAATGCGCCTTCGTATCTTGCTTTGAATATTTGAAATATGTTGGGATATATAGATATATATTGGTAAATATGCTGCCATACGTCTGTAGCTTTCTGCAAATTCGCTTATCTAAAACAGATTATGTCGATATTAAGTATTAGTGAGAATAGCCAATAATCAATTATCAACAAATATTATATTAAATATGATCTCGTGTATGTATATATATGAATATAATCATATTAATATATATATATATATATATATATATATAATACATACACAATAATCTTAAATATATAATAAGGATAAATAATAATTATACATTATAAAAATTACAACTTTTCTTCTCAGAGTCAAAATTTTAGTTATTTCGAAAAAACTAGTTTATAAGTTTGTAAACATTTTTAATCAATTAATGTCGATTTTTATATAGATTTCTTATTTTCATCAAAAATTCAGCAATCGAACGAAATGACATGAATTTAAAAAAAATGAGTAAAGCTCTAAATGTGAAATATAAATATAAATTTTTCGAACTCTTAAGAGAGAGTCAAATGAGGATAATAGTGCCTCAGTTTCAAAATTAATTCTTTTTTAAATAAATTGTTATATATGAAATATATTTCTTTGAGCGACTAAATAACTGAATAAATCCCAATTCAAGATTTCTATTAAAATAAATCATTCCTAATCTCTATACAAAAGGATAGGCGAAAAAATATCTGTAAAATTACTGAATCAAAAATCATTCTTTTATCATACTATGTGTTTTATCATATTGTGTGCATAGTATTGCACTATACCAGTATTTTACTATACAATTCTTTCGTCTGCAAGAAATGTTTACAAATAATTTTGTAAGTAATGACAAATAAAAATCTATAGAATTTAGAATTGGTGATTTTAAAAACAAAATTAGAAACCTATACGAATTACGGCTACTTCAGAGAAAATATCACTAATAATTGATATATCTAGAAGACTATTGCATTAATTCGTGTTGACCTATCCATCATTATTAAATTTTTGATAAATTAATGATTAATACATAATTAATGTATAATAAATTAATGTATAATATTAAAGTATGCGAATCACATTACGTAATACTCTCCCAATCATATTGAAAAATATTTAAATTTATTTAACTAAGAGTTAAACATCTAGGTTAACTAAGATTTAAATCTAAAGCTTATAAATTCTTTTTTTAAAATATATAAATTGAATTTTATTAAAATCACTAAAGATTCCAAGTAAAGAAATACTCTTCCTTTTCTGCTTTCTCTTGCTCACTCATTCTTTCTCACTCTGTCATTCACTAAAAATAATATATTTTGGAAATAGTATATTTTCAGAAATTAGAAATAAAAAATGTTTATTTCATAAAAGAAATTGAATGACATTAAATTAAATGACATTTAATTTTTGCTTGTTACTTTGAGATATCGTGACATTAATATATACTGTATGAAAGCAAGAAATTAATGATTAATGCGAGTGAATACAAATGGAATACTAGTACAATATTCATAAAATTGACTTTTACTTTCCTATTTCTCTCTTTCACAAAAAACCAAACTTCTTACATTCATTTAATTCAACTTCTGTTGCATTAACAAATTTATCTGTTAGAAAGTCGTACATCTAAAATAAATTATTTTGATATTCAACAACAATATTAAATAACAAATTAATGTTGCATCATCGTTATTTTTTTTACATATACATATATAAACACGTGCAATTTTTACCTTTTCCAATTGTTCTGTATAATACACATGATTAATAATAACAGTAAATGTTGCATGCTCGCTGACTTGTCTATAACAATAAAACAATAAATTTAATAATACATATTTAAACTGTTGAATGATAGATATATATTTACGAAGAAAGCTGTATTACCTGGGTCTTATGTTCTCAAGATTTTCTAATATGAAGTCGAGTACTACAGGATTCCTTGCGTGCTTCGCGATAGTAAAAAGAAAATAATTAATATAATCTTTATCGCAAAAATCTTCTAAAAACATAATCGATGTTGTACTGTCATTTTTTATTAGATTAAGATATGGTTTGATAAATTTTGAATCCTCAGGGCAAGAGAGGAATTTTAAAAGTTTAGGTTTAAATTTTTCTTTTCCCAGATGATATACTCTCCACCAAGGAGACTCTTTATTGCTAGGAGAATCTTCAATGTCAAGAGAATAGTATAATATTTTTAAACCTTGACAGTATGTCCATTCTTCCCACCATGGCAAAAGCCTACGAGATTTAATAAAAGATTTCAAAATTCTCATATAAAAGTTTTGCTCATATTAATCTTATATTTTGATTAAATAATTTAACAAATTATAATTTCATAACATAACATAATAAATTTAAATTTTGATCAAATAATGTAATAAACATTGCACATGTATCTACAAAACAATCAAATTAAAATAACCGAGAATATACAAAAAAAATTACGTGTTGTTTTCGGGATCTTCGAGATGTCGATTTAATTTATGTTGGGCTTTTTCTATGCATATGCGACTACCAAGATTACATGCCCATTTCGCAGCCTCCATTCTTAAACTCTTTGTAAGCTCGTGTTCATTAGAAATTTCATCGTATTCAAGTTTATCAAGCAAATTATATAATAAATTTCGCATTTTTACCTAAATATAAATGTATATATGTATATATATTTATATGTATTTATATTGTTACTTAATATAAATTTTATATTTTTCGATTTTTGCATTATATTTTGCTATATAGAAAGATATCTTGCGCAATTGTATTTTACATATTAAGAAAGTTTATATATTAAGAACATTTTGTCTTTGTAAGCAACTCTGAATTTTTTTTATAAAGATATCTATTATATAGTTATACTTATATATATACATATATATATATATATATATATATATATGTGTATTTATATACAAATTTGAATTTTTCTTGCGTGCACATTCACACATGCTTAACACATGTTCATTTTACAAAATAAACAGACATAAATGCATACATGCATATATTGTAGACATATAAACATAAATGTAGACATTATATATATAATATAATGATACCTTACTAATTTGATACCTTATTATATAATGATATATTATATAATAATACTTTACTAATTTGATACCTTACTAACTGTTTGAGTATTAAACAGATAATTAATATATATGTTTCCTATTAACTTTCTATCTCAAAATTAATGATATTTAAATCTTTATTATAAATATCGTGCTGTAATTAAAATTGATAACAATTTTCAAATTTTTCACCCTTTTCCTCTCCAATTTTTTTATAATATTAGTTCATACACTATTCAAATATTAATTTACAAATATACTTATCTTTCATCCAAAATATATATATTTAAAATATCTAACCAAATTTTTTCTAGTTACATGTATTTTATTATATGTATCTTTTTGGAAAGCACTTAATAATTATTGTTATAAATGCACACAATATTAATATGTGTAATAAATAATACGTTTCAAGCGTTTTAGTATATTCAATACATCACTGTTGACATTATTTATAATATTTGTTATTACCTTGATGTCAGAATATATTGATTCCCAAAATAGAAAGATATTGGACAGATATTCCAAAGCTTTGAACATGGGATACCATGCCACGTAGTCTCTTTCTCGTGATAGATATTGCGTAATATTCCAGAAAACAATAGAATTAAGTTGGTTTGTTATCATCAAGTGGAAAGCGTCATCGATAATTTGGGCACGATTCAGAACATGTATTTTCATGTAATTTGCAGAATTTAGATAATTTGTAATTCTTCGCCAGTTTTCGATATCGTAATTGATTCGATAATATCCTACCGATAACAAATGACTATATAACGATTATAATTCTTTCAGATAGATTTATATACAAGTATCTGTTTTTGTACATTAATCCAGATAAAAAAGTGTATCCAAAATTGTAAATAAGTAGAAAAACAGATTGTAAAATAATATATATATATATATATATATATATATATATATATACATACAGGGTATTCCATTTTAAATTGGACAGTAAAATATCTCAAATACTAAGCCTAGCAAACAAAATAATGAGAGGAATCAATTGGTGTAAAGAAAAAATATAGTTGTTTCGAAGAAAAAATATGTAATTGTTAATTGCATATTACATATTTCTTCTTCGAAATAACTATGTTTTTTTTTTATACCAATTGATTCCTCTCATTATTTTGTACATAAAAGTATTAAGGTAAGATAATCGAAAAATGAATATTTTACTAGATATTTTATGGTTTATGTAAAATTAAGATATTATTTCAAACCTTATAACTCAGAAAATACTTAATGGAAAACATTTAATTATAGTGTTTTGGAAAGCTCTCGAGATAAGCTACAAGAATATGTAATGAGAAAATGAAGATTCTATTTAAGAAATTGAAGGTGACCTTCATATGACCTTCAAATAACTCTTCAAGGTCTAACCAATGGTACTATCTTATGTCTCCATCGAAACTATACAACTTTTGTCTGAAACATTTTTGTTTGCTATGCTTAGTTTTTGAGATATTTTACTGTCCAATTTAAAATGGGATACCCTATATATACACCGTGGCCCATTTTAATCGACGCACCTGAATATCTCCGTTGGTAAGCTGAATACAAAAAAAATTGTTGAGACAAAAGTTGTATGGTTTCAAGGGGGACATAAGATGGTGTCATTTGTTTGATCTTGAAGAGCCACCTGAAGGTCACGTGAAGGTCAGCTCCAACTTTTTAAATGGGACACCCTATATGCTTTCGCATATTCTTGTAGCTCATCTGAAGAGCTTTCCAAAACACTATAATTAAGTTAGTTTTCATTAAATACTTTCCAAGTTATGAGGCTTGAAATCATTTTTTAATTTTACATAAACCGTAAAATATCTTGTAAAAAATTCATTTTTCGATTATTTTACCTTAATACTTTTATGTACAAAATAATGAAAAGAATCAATTGGTGTAAAGAAAACACATAATTGTTTCGAACAAAAAAATTTAATTGTTAATTGCAAATTAGTCATCATTTCAGTCAATTTAGGCCCGATTTCACCAACCGCGTTTAACTTTAATCTTAGTTCAATTCACTCTTTGTCTCTTTCTAAAGGAAGAGTTAGAAGGAGATAAAAAGTGAGTTAAACTAAGATTAAAATTAAACGCAGTTGATGGAATCAGGCATTAGTCAATCATTTTATGATGAATATATAACAAATGAAAAATGTTTAAATAATTTAGAAGCTTATATATAATTAAAATAATATAAAATTTTCATTATGTTAAAAACATTATAAAGTGTGATAAATTTGTTACACATTTACCAGTTTGTTGTATGTTAAATATTATCCAGCCATCCTCTTTAGAATTCAAATGTAATCCAAAAGTCAGAAAAGATAATAAAATAGTATCTAAAGAACCAGTAAAATGATGATGCTTCTGTGTAGTATATGTTATAGGTATGATATAATCCACCACCTTATTTAAATTGTGCGTTAATACATATGTCCAGTCTCCATGACGACCACCTTGTGTCATTTTTAATACAGAATAATATTTTTTATCTGTCCAATAATTAATTATCTGTCTCATAACAATAAAATTATTTGCAGATATTTGTGTGATCGAAAAGTTCTCCAAAACTTCACCAAAAGTGTTAACAGGCTTGCTAAAGTTACAAAATTTGTGCAAAATTTATCAAAGTGTCAAAAAGTATTATAAGCAATATATAAAATTACCATAATATTATGACAATATATAAAATTGCTAATATGCTGTTAATTACTTTTTATATAATTTACTTAGTTATATAAATAATTATGTAATTAATAATTTTGATTTATAGTTTCCATAAGTATTTGATATGCTATAGTTTACACTAAAATTTGTTAGGAATATCCTAATGTAATTATTTTTAAAAGATAAATGTATGTGTAAATTGAAAGTTTATCTTGAATATTCAATGACATTGAAGGTAAAAGAAATTGTGTATGGTTATATAATAAAGTATGAAAGATATGATGCAAGTTTAAATAAAAATAAATATGAGAATTTTATGATATATAATTAATCATTCATCATATTTAGTTTTCTGCAATACAGTAATTATAGTAGTATAGTATATTACTTACTTATCCTTTACATATATGCGGATAGTCTGCCATAATATTTCTTCAGTAACCATATGTTGAAACATACGCAATATACAGTATCCTACATTTACATCATACGTTAAAATAAGAATATCAGATAACAATACTTATAAGTTAATAATAATTACAATTATATATATGTATATATATATATATATATATATATATATATATATATACAGAGTGTCAGGGAAATTTTGACGGTCACGAAGTAAGGAGGTAGATTGGCTCAAATTAAAAAGGAAGGACCTCTATTGTTTTGTGATATTCGCAATAATTAACAAAAAATTAAATAAAGAAGATCGACCAATCTGCGTGAGTAGAAGCGAGCGGCGACAAGAGTCGTTCCACTGTAATCTTATCTCACTGTATACTAGGCGCGCAGCGAAGCGGTGGGCGAATCGCTCTCCGAGACTTGATGGTGGCGTGAGATATATCGCAATACCGCGCCGAAAAATGACCCGTCCTTTTAATGGTGAGAAAATGATGCGTTATCATTTCCACACCACCTTCGGGAGATAGCATGGCTTTTTTTATAGTGGTTTTCCCAATAGGCCTACTCTCAATTTGAAAATTGTTCATAATACTGTTATTATACGCTAAATCGTAAATATAAAAAACTAATGGTGACAGTATCTTCACAAAAATTGATCTGTGGTTGAAAATTCCTCGATAAAACATGTTGGTAATGATGTGGGCATAATCCGTTGCACGTAAAGCGTGATGTACCGCGTATCGCGAAAAACGAAATTTGTGTGTCACACGACACATTCTAGTTCCAAGATTTTCACAAAATGCTTCAAGAATCCTTTCTTCATCTCGTACACGAAGACGCACTGCTAGATCGGTTATATATCCCGATAATATGCACGACACTCAGTTTCACATAATTGTTGCACAACATGTAAATTGCGGCCGCACAATAAGTATTTTCTACCGCTAGTCCGTATGCCACAATCATATCCGTATATTCCTGAGGAGTATACTTCATTTTCACTGTTAATTTACTACGCGAACACAAGATTTTTACTAAAACGTCTTAGCTCTTGCAGACTGCTGCCAGAGTGCATTTGTTAGCAGCACGCAACTACAGCTAAGCGGATATGTGAGTGTAATCATAGTGCGCAGGCATCCAGCTCACACGTACATTTGATTTTTCGCGATATTTTTGTGGTGCATCACACTTTAGGTGTAACGAATTACGCTCGATCATTATTAATATGTTTTATCGAGGGATTTTCAACCACCAGATCAATTTTTGTGAAGATACTGTCACCAACAGTTTTTTATATTTACGATACATTCAGTATAGTAATGGCATTATGAACAATTTTCAAATTGAGAGTAGAATAGGAAAAACCACTATAAAAAAGCGCACCATGTTATCTACCGCAAGGTGATGTGGAAATGATTGCACATTATTTTTTGCCTTTAAAAGGATGGATAGATGTATAGCTTGACACGATGGTGCCATTAATTTCACCTTGAAGAGTCATCTGAAGGTCACGTGAAGGTCACCTTCAACTTTTTAAGTAGGACATCTTATATACTTTTACATATTCTTGTAACTTGCCTCAATAGCTTTCCAAAACACTGTAATAAAGTATTTTTTCATCGAGTAGTTTTCGAGTAATAAGACTTGCAATAATTTTTTAATTTTACATAAATCCTAAAATATCTTGTAAAATATTCATTTTTCGATTATCTTACCTTAATACATTTACGCACAAAATAATGAGAGAAATCGATTGGTGTAAAGAAAACACATAGTTGTTTCGAAGAAGAAATATGTAATTTGCAATTAACAATTACATATTTTTTCTTCGAAACAACTATGTTTTTTCTTTACACCAATTGATTCCTCTTATTATTTTGTACATAAAAGTATTAAGGTAAGATAATCGAAAAATGAATATTTTACTAGATATTTTATGGTTTATGTAAAATTAAGATATTATTTCAAGCCTTATAACTCGAAAAGTGCTTGATGGAAAAACATTTAATTATAGTGTTTTGGAAAGCTCTCGAGGTCAACTACAAGAATATCAAATAAAAAATTGGGTTTCCATTTAAGATTTTAAAGTTAACTTTCACATGACCTTCAAATGATATTCCAAGATAAAATCATTGTCACCATCTTATGAATTATAAGCTGAATGTATCTTAAATGTAAAAAATTGATGATGACGGTACCTTTACAAAAATTGATCCCTGATTGAAAATCCCGCGATACGATATATCGCAAACCACCATCATGTCTCGGAAAGCGACCCGCCCACCGCTTCGCCGCGCTCGTAGTATCGGATTACGGTGGGACGACTCTCGTCGCCGCGCGCTTTTACTCACGCAGATTGGCCGATCTTTTTTATTTAATATTTCGTTAATTATTGCGACAATCCCAAAATAATACAGGTCATTCCTTTTTAATTCGAGCCAATCTACTTCTTTATTTCATTAAGGTCGAAAATTGACGGACACCCTGTATATATATATATATATATATATATATATAATATATATATATGTATACAAGGTGTCCCTGAGCATGAACTCATGCACTCGTGAGGAGATAGAACGCAGTAAATTAAATAAAAAAATCCTTTTCCATGTAACGTTTTTGTAATAATAATCGAAATATTAATTATTGAAATCGAACGAATGAAAGAAGCGCTCGACCACTCGAGCTATAGCACGGCCCACCGTGTCAGACATTGTCTGCCGGCGCGCGGTGAAACGTGAAGATGGCCATGGCGGTAACCACGGGTAGCGACGCGTTGTCCCTCCCCTCGCCGCACGCCGGCCGGCAATATCTCACACGATGGGTCATGTTATATAGCTCGAGCGGTCGAGTGCTTCTTTCATTCGTTCGATTTCAATAACTAATATTTCGATTATTATTACAAAAATTGTTATATGGAATAATATTTCTTTATTTAATTTACTGCGCTCTACTTCGTCACAAGTGCGTCGGCTCATGCGCAGGGACACTCTATATATAAAATTAAATTAAATTAAATTTTTTGTGTTATTTTGTCTAACTTTTTAAGCACTTATATTTATAAATTTACGCATATAATCAATTTTTAATTATACATATTATCATACCTTTAATGTAACGATAATGTTCGAAAGAAATATCGAATGACGCATTATAAAGTGATGTATTATATTCAGTGTCGAAATGAAGGAATTCCTGCTGAAAATGTACCACAAACAAGTCTATCATCCGGATATTATATTTGGATATTATATTTCGGGGAACCTATAGAAAATAATTTTAATGTATTTACTTAGTTAATATTAGACTTAACACATAGTAACAATATACACTAGGACCGCTACTTTTTACGTTTGTAAAAAAAATTTGTTATTTGTTATAAAATTTGTTATACTCTCTCTCTCTCTCTCTCTCTCTCTCTCTCTCTCTCTCTCTCCCTCTTTGAATGTGGAATAAATAATTCAGAAATAATATTAATAATGATAACAAAAATATATATATAAATATATACATATTATATATATATTATATATATATTATAAATAACTCCAGAAATATTTAAATTAAAAGTTATATTGTGTGGTTACACAATATAACTTTTAATTTAAATATTTCTAGAGTTATTTATAATATATCATATAGCAAAATTATCTTATTACATAATTTCCATGTGTACATATGCTTAACTTTATAATAACTTTATACATAATTTATGCAATCTGAATGACAATTTCATTTTTATTTTATATAATTTAAAGATATCAAACAAATGTAACAGCGACTTTTGACAAATACAAATAAGAGAAACACAGTAATGTAAGAATATTTTAAATTACTTTACATGTGTAATTGATTTTCTTGAAAAATTAGCATTTTAAAAAAAATTGTTTTACTTTGTAAATATAGAATATATAGAATCTTCGCGTAATATTCTAATTCATAAAGAAATGTATACGCTATACAGATAAAGATATAATTATAAAGAGCTTTTACATTACATATGTATATACAGGGTGTTAAAAAAGTATCGCATACGCTTAGTGCCATCCGATAGAGAAGGAGAATTTAAGAAAAAATGTCTAATAGTATTTTTCGATCCCATGAATAATTTCGCCGCAATTAATTATTGTAATCAATTAATCAGCGCGGAGCTACAAGAGGAAGCCAGGGGCGAAGCGCGCGAAGTTTGCGACGCGACGACTAGCGCGGTAGCCGTTGTGCCGCAGACTTTGCGCGCTTCGCCCCTGGCTTCCTCTTGTAGCTCTGTGCTGATTAACTGACTTACAATAATCAATGCGGCGAAATTATTCATGGGATCGAAAAATAGTATTACACATTTTTTCTTAAATTCTCATTCTCTATCGGATGGCACTGAGCGTATGCGATACTTTTTTAGCACCCTGTATATATATCTTTATGTTTAACTCAAACCTTGCTTACTTACAAACAATATACATATATGTATATCTATCATATTGTTTGCAAGTGAGCAAGTTTTGTGCTAAAGAATGTTTAAATTAACCTCATTAATGATATATAATCCAAGAAATGTGACTATAGCCTCATTTAGCCCAGAAGATAACGACCAAAATGGATTTTCATAATAAAGACATTCCTGTACTACTTTATGGGCTATGAAGTGAGCAACTTTAATTTTATTCGCAGGAGGATCGACATTCTCAATGTAGGTAACATCTGCTTCTCTGAAAATAAAAAAAAAATGTTTTATAGAAAGCTTCTTACTGTTGAAAATATCTTGTGCTTGCAAATTTAATATAACTAAATAATCTATAAATTAACCTATTAATTATATACTAATGTTTTATAATGTCTACGCGTATAAATGACTCATCACATAATAATGCGATAGTTATTTAATAATGCTTCCAACGTATATATATGTATATATATATATATATATATATACATATATATATATTTATATATATACATACATATATAAATTTTTTAAATTTCGATCGATAAAAAATATAAAAACTTTAATATAACACGTTACTTTATTTTAATTATTTTAATGTTTTTATTTTATAATTTTTAATTTTGTGATTATAAAACATATACATATATATATATATATATACATATATATGTATATACATATATATGTATATACATATATATATATATATATATATATAATATTTTAATATTATTTTTCGTATAAGTTGATATAAATGAAAGGTATAATAAACATTTAAGTATATTTCTCTCATTGTCTTCTACAATTTTACTTATTTTTTAAAATATATTTAAATAATATTTTTAAAATAGACAAAAGATATGTAGATAATTTTACTTTAAAATATGTAGATAATTTTAATAGACAAAAGATATGTAGATAATTTTACCAAGAATTATTATCCGTTTTTCATCTTTCAAACTATATTAATATTTTTTAATTATATAATTACCTATAAATAGCAAGGCCCAGATTTATGATGCTTTCGTTTTCCGGAAAATCCGGAATTGCAATATGATTTATTTGCCAAAATTGATTCAGGCGTTCCCATTTACGAAACAAGTATAGAGTTATATTTTGAACAATTTTGTGTGCAAATGCGCAGTGCGCATTTCTACACCACATATCAACGCTGACCTTACTTTCACTTGGACCAGATATGAGAGATAAATTAGCCCGGATATCCACAAATACAAAATAATTAGGCCTTACAAATGTATTAAAATGTGTCATTATCGTGTTTTTATCATACATTACTGTCTGTGTCGGTATATTTGATAAAACTGTATAATTTTTATGATGTTTTATAGTAATATTATAGACGGGCGAGATGTGTAAAGATTCGGTCAAATGTGGAATCATGTGTCGGATTCCAGTAGTATTAACATATGTTGCCAACCTATCACATTTAGAAATATGAATTAATGATAATAAATTTTCGACAATTACATAAAAATATTAAAAATTGAATAAAAAGGAGATATACGGATGCAATTTATATGTAAGAATAATATATTATATAAAGAAAATTATGGCAAAGAGTTCTTCTTATTCCTTTACTCTGTATCTTATCTTGTATAATGTATTCTATTATGTAATCTAATAAACATTTCGATAGTATTGTGACATTAATATAACGTAATGATGAAATGTTAGGTAAATGTTTAGTTGAGAATGTACAGGTACAAAATAAATAGTTAATATTTAAAAGTTTATATTTTAGTATTAAAATTTATGAATTTTAGTAAAATTAAAATGAAACAAAATTTCGTTCAATAAAATTAAAATAAATTTTAATATTACACAATATTAGAATAACTTTTTTAAATTTATTTTAAATTGACTTTAATTTATATATTATGATTATTGACATTGACATATTACTTTACCATCCTTACATAATTTTACACATGTTAAAGAAACTGCATATTTTAGTGATAATTTATTATTATGTGAATATATATATTTTCAGTTATTTGCATATTATAGAGAGAATAATTCTTAAATAGTACTATGTATGCGTGTATCTGAATGTTTAAACATGAAACAGCATGTGTACATGAAACAGCATGTGTATAACCTGAAGTTATACACATGAAACAGCATGTGTATAACCTGAAGTTGGATTAATAAATATTGTAAAAATGACATGTTTGCCAACATTTTAAATTTCAAATAAGCAAGTTCTATGAAAACAAACATAAATCTTTCAGAATTGTATTTTTTAATTAAATTTTGAAAACAATTCAAAACACTACCGGAATATTTGAATTCGTCCGACAGTTAATGATAAAATGTTGTATAAGATGTGTATTATTGCTAACTACTTTAATTAAATTAATTTTCATTTGCAGTTTACATTCATTTTAATAATAGTGATAATAATAATAATGATAATAATAACAAATTGCAAAATTTGTTACTAAGATCTTAAAAGACACATAATTATAAATGAAAACTTTCCAGATACGCACATGTTTATATAAAAATGTCTTTTCTTAGAAAATATTTTTTAATAAATAAAATGCTGTACTAGTATTTTTTGATAAACACCCTGTGAAATTACTATATATTTACTTACCATTGTCGTTCCCCTCTTTTATAAAAGCTTTTTAGGCCTATATCTTCAGTTATGTTAGTAACTAATTTTATGATGTAATATCCCGGCGATAGGTCATTCGTGAATATATATTCGACACTGTTCTTCTCATTATTATACAAAGATTGTACCGGTATAAAATGGATTATTTTTTTATTTCTTATAGAGTGTTCACTATTTATAGAATATCGTGGATAATAAAGCACGATTATACCGATATATTTTACGGGCGAATATAATATTATGCTTGATATTGGAGATAAAATCTTTATATATATACTGCAGTTGCTGACAAGAAAATTTTTTTCGGTGTGTGTAATGTTGATTTTATATTGTTGCGGCAATATATAATTCGGGTGAATGTTTAACTTTTTTTGAGATATTTTAATTAGCGGATCGTCGGTTAAAAAAGCCGCTGCGACGATGATTAAACTGCTACTTAACAATAGTTTTAGAAACATGATACTACTTTTATCTTAGATATCTGTAAAAATATTTTTGTTAGAAAATACAAACGGACAAATTAAACACAGCACTGTCTCTACCATGATTTAGTAGAAAAGAAGAAATTAAGACAAATATATAGAAATAAACTTAATTTTGAATGACTTACTTTGTATATGAGACCACAAATTTTATGCACGTGTATGTTTTGTTACAATAATTAGTTACAATAAATCAATGTTTTATCCACTATAATTGTAACATAAAAAATATATACGCGCACTTATTGATTTCTTATTATTTCGAGAATCTTCCAAAGACTAACAACACTTGGCGATAATACAATAAATGTGTATGTCATATGTAAACACACAATTTTTGAGGTCGTTAACAGATGTTTCGATCGTGAAACGGTATGTAATAGCAAAGCACGGTATTTCCTACTCCAAATGCGTGCTAGCGATCGAGCGCCGAAAGATGGCAAAACCGTCTATTTCGCATTGGTCTAAAGCAAAAAAGGCCGTTACGTAGAATGCAAAAATATCTGTTAATATATATATATATGAATTCTTTTATACTGTTTAAAAGTAGTATATACCTTTATCAAAGATTTGATAATTTTTATAATTTACAATATACATTTAAGTAAAATTTTATTAACTATATTATTACGAGTTTGTATCGGTAAATTATCTTTAAGCAAGTTAATGAAAAAACGTAACTTATTAACACTAGAATATAATATTACAGTATTGTATGTAAGAAAATATAATGAATAACTATTATTTTTTAGGTTTTTATTCACTCTTGCAAATTTATATGGTGGATATATGAATAAAACAACGGAAAATCTTTCAAATCGGTCAAATTAATAATCGTGTTTTTCCCATAACGAAGATTTTTAACGCAGATTTTTAACACAGATTTTTAACGCAGATTTTTAAATTAAAATTAAGAAAGGTTTTTTTATAATGTGGAATAAAAATATTATAGAAATAGTATGCTCCAAGAATTATGCTATATCATTTATTAATAAATTAAAAATATTAATAGTACATTAATAAAATACATTCGTAAATAATAGTTTTTATAGAATTTAAAATATTAATAACACATGTTAATATATTTATTAATTTGTTTATATATACAAATATATTTAAATATTATTTATATGTACAGTATTTTATAATATTAATTAAACATATACTATTTTATTATGTACAACATTCGTAATTATTTTACATTATATTAAAATTATAATCTATACTGTAGTATTATCCACTATTAAATCACATATATATCACATATACATTACATTAATATACAATATTAATTTATGTGTATTAGCAAATAATAATTAATGCAGTACTAATATACATATATTAATATACATACATTATTAATATAATGAAAAACTTAAGAGATGTTAAAATAAATAAATATTATGATGTAATTTTATAGTTATTATGTTACTATATTAATAATTCAGAATTCAGCTTATTTTTGTAATATTAACAAAATATATTAATCTACGTATTAAAAAATAACTTTCTCTCATTTACATAATTAATAGTATAATTTAAATATCTCAGATTTGCAAAACGATAAGAAAATTTGTAATCATGCGTAAGTATTCTTATAATACAAACGCATCGGGTATCATTGCAGGATAATTAAAGTCCTACCCAGTATAATTAAAGTCTTAAGAAATTAAAACGCATTTTATTTTGCATATGACTCAAGGACATGATGTTGATAACACATATCAAGCTCAGTAGGGAATAGGGGGAAGTAAATATGAATATTTATCAGAATTATTATTTTAAGAATTAATAAAAGAATTAATAAAATTATACCAGCAAAAAATTCTAATTAGAAGCAATAAATATCATTAACTCCAAGTAAATGTTAAACGGAAATGTTATATACTTTTTTAGCACGATTGTGACGAAATAAGACTTCCGTTTATTATATTATTTCCGGAACGAACTTGACCTAGTTAAGAAATATGTCACGTTATTTGTGCTGAATGCAGGTAACTCTTATGACAGCTTATGTTCGCTGCGTAGATGGACTTCGATAAAGGAGAAGGTGAAATGATGCAAAGGTATGCGAAGTTATAGGTGCCAGATCATGACAAAGACTGGATCAAGTTTAGTGGAACATGGATAGAGTAATACTAGATTACTTACTTTCATATCTTCGCAGCATAGATCGTACATACATTTACGCGAGCAAACATGCGACGCGTTTACGCCTTCAGGGTATAGTTCTTTATATGAAGAAACGCTTTTTAGATGATATATATAAAATAAATGATATATATATATATATAAATGATATATATATAAATGATATATATAAAATATCAAAAGTATTTTAAGCACAATTGCTCGTGCTTAAATAATGACACTTATTGTACCTAATTACACCTCTAATATGCTCCGCATTTGTGCTCTTGATTCTAATATTTGAACAGAGAGAATTCGAGAACAGGAAGAAATTACTGTAATATTTAATTTTGCTTAGAAAATATCTTTCATTTATCAATATAAGATCTCTTGGAAAGAATTAAATGTGTTTTATATAAGATCATCAAATTTTTCAGAGCTTATTTCTCGTATTTAATAATATGGAGAGTGTTCTTGTAGAAGAATGCTTTCCTTCCGTTCTCTATTTCTACATTTTTTACGCGAGTTTGGAGCATCTTTATTCCATCGTTATTTTTAGCGGACAGATAAATTATTTTTCCTTTCGCCGTGAAAGGAGGAAGCTGAGATTTACAAATATTATAGCAAAGCAAGAAAAGATATGTATTAATTCCGCCATTAATTATTCAAGTAACATTCTACATTTTCCTAATTGATCTCTGCCGTACGGACAATCTTTTTTTTTCTTGATATTCATTGGGTATCATCGATATCGCGGGAGATAAGGGTCGGAAATAATTTCTCTTAGAGACGTACCAGCCCTTGCAAAATCATGGATTTATCTTTGAAAAACTAGTAAATGGACCGAAGCAAAAAGCCGAAAGTTTCTGCTACCACGGAGATAGACACGAGATAAATTTTAACATATCGATGAGTTTTGTTTCCTTTGTATATGTATCAGTTACAGTGTGTCTGATTCCATCGGACACACTATTCTATATTTGCGTTTCTTGGACTTCTAAATTTGTACACAGAATGGAGGAGTCCGGGGACAAAAGTAAATTTTTTGTATTATAGGTCACTAATTAATTAGAGATGTAACAAAAAAGATTATATGTTAAAAAGCTCCATTTATTGTTCTATTATTATGTCTATGTTTCAATCTCAAATGATAGATATTTAAAGAGCCACTATAGCTTTTCGCAAGTACGTTGATTGTTACTTTTATCCTGGGGGCCTGGGACGAAAGTAACATAATCTGGGGATAAATATACCAGTTTCTTATTTTCGGGAAAATAAAATAAATATGATTTTTTTCAATTTAAAGCAACTTTTATTATAATCTTTCATTAAGCAAAATAACTTTTGCTATAAATTTGTATTATATTATATTAAAATAAAGAATAAAACAAATATTTATTTTTATCATCTTTGAAAAACTTAAAAGAAATAATCTTCATTAAGCAAAATAATTATAAGTAATATCAATAAGTAATATATAAGTAATATAAGAAGTTGTTCTAACTCTACGTCTTTTGGCGATCATTCATCCAAGTTTGTTGTTCAATCTGCGTCTTTCCTTGTAAAAAATATGTCGAAAAAACCAGAATTGTTTGTTAAAATAATTCTCCAATATGTACGCTGGAATGTACTTAAAGGCTGCCCTGGAAAGTTGTAGAACAGTGTAACGTAATCGGCGCAATGATCTAAATGCATCGGCAATCTCAATATTCAAAATACGTAAGGATGTCTTAAATTTAAAACTGTCGTACGTCCGGACAGATCTATTGTTGCGTAAATCAATATCGTGATTAAAAAGACGTGAAAGATGCGGCACCTTAAATTTTTTACAGTTTCTCAGAAATCTAATTCTCTCTTTAATCTGCGTAATACAAATGTCAGCACGCGACCATTCTCTACAATATATATATTGTATACACATATATGATTAAATCAGGTCAAAAACCCATAATTATATCTACATAATTATATCTACACAATTATATATAATTATATATAAACTTTTTTCTTGGATTTGTGAATTTTTGATGTTTATTTTAACAATAATTTTGAAGAGTAGAGGGCACTGAAAATAACGTCCATTTTAAGTCCTTTTTTGGGTATTATTTTGGGCGTTCAAAGTTGTGAAAAATCGACATCTTATGGACGTTTAATTAATATCCGTCGAACTTAATTCAGACGTCTTTTGGACAACAAATGTGCAAACTCAGGCATTCACTGGATGTCCATGTGCTATCTGGGTAAATATGTAATCAAAATTTTTATTATCATACTAATTAAAAGTTCGGATTTACGTTGTGTTTGATGTCATTTTAATCACAAAAATCTCATTAATTCATTAAAATTACTTTCAAACCGATAAAATAAAAAATAAGTTTCACTTTTTATTTTATAATAGCGATTTCGGCTGGTCTGCACCGACTGCACATTTCGGGTGTTGTATGTTCGGCTGGTCGAATGGTGCAGTCCCTCACTGGAGCTGCGTATTCGTCTGGACTCAGTACACAGGTGCATGTTGGGTGTACACAAAGTGGCTCTCACAAATTTGTTGAAGCCAGTTAATGTAATCGGTAATTGTCGATAACATTGTTAATTTCACTTGTATCATAAATGTTGTATGCCGATT